TATTTGATTGTACGGTGTGTTAGGGATCAATCTTTTCAAGATTGTGATCCTTCACAACAGCAGGTGGCAAGTGCCGTGTGGCAGCTGTAAAATTTGCACCGTATTTCACTTCAGTGTTGTTATAATTTTCTGATCCTTCGGGATAATTGATTGCAGCGCTTTTAAGTGTTGAAAATTGAGTAGAGCTCAAACCCGTGCTAGGATGCGTAAGGTATGTTGCATTTTTTATCTATAATTTACAGAGTTAATCAATGTAATTTGCTGCGCTCTTTGGTGATGGTCCTGTATTTGGGGATGCGTTCATTGAATGCCTCCCTTGCCTTGTTGGTCTTGTTTTTCATATTTTAATCAAACCTAGTCTGCAATGTTCATGTAATTTTGTTGTGATTAAAGCTTCCGAGGTATTGCCTTTTTTCCAGACTTATTTATTAGTACTTGCTCCGCATCATTTCATGATTATTAATATATATTCACGCTGAGTTTTTTAACAATCCAACAAGTAAGTTGTGTTTTAAAATTGTTATTATACTTACAAAGCGCTGGACATCGAACATTTTTACACACGAATATCTAAATGTGTTTTCCGTATACAGTTTGAAAAGAAAGATCCAAAAGCAAGAGCGACATTCAAAATTTGTCCCAAGAATCTCTTCTAGATGATCACAAAGTGATCCGATGATCTATATGACGTGACCCCAGGGCGTACATAAATACATAGTCAATATAAACTAAATGATCCTCGGAGATTGGTCAATTTTTCCAAGAATGCATAATCATATGACTTTTGTAGAAGAATGATTGATATTACATGCCAAATATCTAAGCTGTAGACATTGAATATGTACTTACAAAGACGGTTTTAATTAATCTTCTTTAATTTCCTTGACGTATTCTATTATTTCCTATTGTGTATTATTTAAGTGATCGTCCAGTCCATGCTTTGCCTTGTGCCCTGTACTGTTTTTGTTTGGAGTACTGCTGCGCTCCTTGCTGGTGGTCCTGTGTTGCTGGGTGTTTAGGGGTTGTGTTCATTGAACGGTGCCTTTCCTTGGTGATCTGGTTTTTTATATATAGATATTTCATTTTAAACTCGTTTGATCGACAAGGTAAAGAAACTTACACTGATCTCAAAATTGAACTTTTAGGATTGTTATTTCTCAAAGACTTTTAAGAGTACCTCTTAATAAACCAATGAGTAAATCTGCTCCAGAGTTTAACCGATATTCTTTCTTAATTAAGCATATAAAATTTCTTTAGCAGCAATTGCTTTTTGTGGTCCTCCTGGGCTTCTTGCCGCTGGTCCTTGTTGCTTGGTAGTGTCGGCTTGCGTTCTTTAAAAGAAGCCTTTCCTGCTTGATCTTGTTTATCATATTTTTTGTTTAAAAAACGCGGATTAATAAAATTATATATTATGATCAAGGAAGGTTAAATGGGACAAATATAAGAATATTATATGAAATTTTATTCCCAAAATATAAAATATCTACTGTTTGATTTTTCTTTTAATATTGTTTTTAAGAAATTTATGCATCATCACGTTCAAAATAGCAAAAGTAATGAAGTACTGAATTATTGTGCAGATGATAATAGTATATTTTAGTTGGCGCCGAAAAATCTTTAATGAACACTATGGAAGTTTTACAATTCAACGCAAATATATCTAGGTCTAATAAAAAAGATATGCTGTTCTCTGTCTTGAAGACAATTTAATTGAAACACTGAAATTTTTGATGAGTTGGTGTACATCTTTCACAAGATCATAATCAGATCTTTTGCAAGGTTCTTTTATGTATGCCTAGGCTGAACAGAAATTTGTCTTGGATGTGCGGCTAAGGATGTTGTTGAACAAATAGCAGATGTGAAACCTAAATCCATGATAGAGGAACATTCATGGGATAAAGTCGGCGATGAAGACCCATCGCTTTACCGCTCAAAGGAACCGCGACGGATAGACAGGTAAACGAGAAAGATGTTTAGGTTAATGCGTCACAAACATATGCTGTCAAGTCAGTAGGGCAAGAGGCCGATAAAAGTAAAACAGATCAAACTGTAGAGAGACTTGACAAAATGGATATGGTTTCTCTTGGTCTTGGTCGTATGTTCATTGAACGCTACCCTTCCTTGTTGATCTTGCTTTTCATATTTTATGCTCTAGAGCCGAAGATGGTCAGTGTTAAGCTGAGCTCATGCATGAAAACACGGTTGAGAAAAATTACAGTTTTATAAAAAGAAAAGACGTTATGGCCAACAGTACAGGCTTGAAGGAAAAGTGAAGACACAGTGTCCGAAGAAAGTTTGTTTTTATATCGATACAGGTAAAAATTAAGATATAAAGAAAAGGTATGAGATGCGAGGGAGCAGGGAATAGTCATCCTTAATTAATCCTATGTTTGCGGTTACTCACAGCGATAAAAAGAGACTGGCGAAATGACTCAGGAATTACGTCATATAGAAATGCATTAAAGTCATATTGAAATGTGTCCCAGATATGTGAAAATGCCGTGCATATGTAAGATTGTGTCTTGGAATACAATAATACAGAGACGGGGGATGTTCAGAATAAAGATAAAAAAGATCGGGTTGATATACTGTTAATTTAGAATGTAAGTTCGAAGTCTACTTTTTCAGTAAATGGTACAATGCAGGGCTATGTACGTCAGGCAGTTGCGGATTCTGCCGCGCAAGCGACTATAAACTCAGTTGAGATGTTGCAGCAGCTGGATACAGTAGCAGATTTAATTAAGGCTGTAAAGTTAAATGTCACGGTTCATAAGTTCAATCAATATAAATGTAAGAAGATGTGTAAGCGGCCGAATAGCTCAGTCGGTAGAGAGACGGAACGGTATCCCAAGGTTCCCTGATTGGAGTCCCGGTCAGGCTGCACATTTTTTCTCAACCTGTGACATTTTGCGCCCAACATGGACCGTGACTGGATATAGCTCAGAATTTAATTTGCATTGCTCTATCACCCTGAGCAATTCGAGGACAATTTATAATAAAGCGGAGGAGTATATCACGGCTCAGAACAGATCACTATTTAGGGGAGAGGATGTGTGAGAGGCCGGATAGCTGAGTCGGTAGACGGTATTCCGAGGTCCCAGGTTTGAGTCCCGATCAGGCTGCACATTTTTCCTATCTTATAACACAAATAATCCTGGTAGAGAATAAGAAATGCCAGAGAAGGTAATTGGCCCTGTAAAAATGGAAATGGTGGCGGCAGGTATAAGAAGAAAAAGTTTATGTAGCTCCGATTATGGATTGATGAAGTTTACCTGATCATCTTAGAGATATGTACATGCATTTGACAAAGCTTTTGTTGGATTCGAATGTTTGGAAATGCTGAGGACGGAATACATTAAACCATCAGGCATCTACAAGAAAGATGGAAGTGTTCAATGGTGCGTAGATTATCATGTCTGAATGCCAATACCATAAATAATATTCGTTTATTGAATTCATTAGGACTGAACAAGAGTCTGGCCTACGTAATACTGTAAATAAAATTTATTTTGGAAATTCATAGGATGCTCAAAACTTAGATTCTCTCTTTACTCAGCAAAAATCGGATATTAAACATTCTGGATGTATTTTGGGTAAATAGAACTAAGATACTCCAAACATTATTTCATATATCAAGACGGCTTGGTTCCATGAATGCATCTCTTACTTATGATCTTAGGCTTATCATGTTTTTTGAAGACTTCAGCCGTTGCTCTTTTTTGGCCTCGATATATTAATAACTGTTGTATTTTGTTTTTCCAAATCATTATCTTCATTTTTTGTGTGTTTGTGTTGATCCTTTCCTCTTAGGATTTATAGAAATTATTTTATTAACTCTTAAGGTATTAAGAAAAAGTACTTTAAAAGGGATAACTCTGGTTTATCAAATCACACATTTAATGTCCTAGTTGTCTGCCTTCCAAAAGTGGTAACGTTATTTCTGATAAGCAGTATAAGTGATGATTAAAACTTTACATGTTCCAAAAGATAACTTATCAAATGGTTTCCCACTTGGTCATATGATTTTACAATGTACATAAATGACGTTACCTTAAAAGTATGCTAAGCTCGCTTATCTGTAAAAACTTTAAAAGATAGTAAACATTTGATATTGAAGTAGATAAATAATGAATCTTTATGATGAGAGATGTTAGTAAAAAGCAATATTAACGATTACGTCCTCTTAATGTTTATTAAAGTCAAATACGGTTTTGTAACAGCTAATTAGAAGAAAAAATACTAGTTAGAATTTTGCTACTCTCATAGGCTAATAATTAAGAAAATTGACCTTATTAATTTTAGTAGCCCTAAAAGTAGATGACTTTTTAAACTCCTAATGACACGAAAGAACATTAAGAAAGGCCTAATTAGTAATTTGTTACACCCGATTAAGTACTTTATTGAGTACCGCTCAAGTCGGTGCTAGCGGGCATGATGAAGATTGCACATATTCATTATCCTACATGTACAGACTCAATCAAACCGAGTCTGCAATTTTCATGTAATTTTGTTGTGATTATTGCTTCCGAAGGATCACTTAGTTTCCAGTTTTTTATACGGCACAACAGCAGGTGTCAAGTGCTGTATGGCAGCTGTAAACGTTACCCCGTACTTCACTTCAGTGTTGTTGTATTTTACTGGTCATTCAGGAGCATTGATGTCAGCACTATTAAGTGTTGAGAATTGAGTACCGCTCAAGTCGGTGCTAGGGGGCGTGAGGGATGTTGCACTTATTCATTATCCCTCATGTACAGACTCAATCAAACTGAGTCTGCAATGTTCATGTAATTTTGTTGCGATTAATGCTTCACTTTGTTTCCAAGTTTTTGTTGTTCTTTATTACGAGAAAAATCAGTTACAAATTAGTTTGGCCTACCAATGAAGATTTTTCAAATTTGGTTCTTTTCATTGGTTTCTATAAATAATTATGAAAAAGTATTTTTAACATGGTAAAAACTGATTTTTAAGTTAAAAATAGATCAATCTATTTTTAAAAATTTGACAAATATAGAGCAGAAATGCTATTTTCAAATCCATGTAATTTCGAAATATTGCCATATCGTTTGGATATCTTCTATCTGGAATTTGTGAATATATTTTGTAAGTATATACTTGATTAGTTATAATAAGATAAAAATTAAAAAGGAACAATCATGAATACGATGACTTTATATCATATTCTGTGTATGTTATAGTTTATGATGTAATACATCACATGCAATGTTAACGATATGTGATAATAATAACATTGCCTTTAATGGCAAAATTTCTAATGGCGTCTGCGACTGAAAAATTGGATAAATACTATCAGTAGTTTTTGTGTGCATTATTTGATATTCAAATATCTTAATGTTGTTACACAATTTTTGTGTCGAAGGAAATTGAATAATACACCATCACGACATTTTTTGCTTTCATACAATGTAGGTCAAATATAGAAAATTAAAAAAAATAAGTTTGCATGTGAAGTGTTGAACACTCGTGATTACAGCCCGACTATGGTTTAAATTCAAACTAATTGTTCTTTGGTGAAAAGGCAAAAAAACCTCAACAAATGAGCCAAAACTTCTATGTAAGAATATTAACCCTTTCTGGATCATCTATCCCGATATTTTACTAGTGAGACAGACTGGGCTTTATCGTGTATGACTAGAGACAATTAAAAAGAAAACTACAGTGAATATTTATTGCTTAAACGGAAAAGATGGCCCCATTTGTGATTTCATTTCTAATCAGCTTATTCTATCATCAATGTACTGTAATTATCTAATTCCATTTGTACACTTAGAGATCAGCATAAAGACGTTTGATTAATGATGGGGAAAACGAGGTCTTTTCAGGAGGCAATGGCAACGGTAGGTTCAATTTCTTTTTCCACCATTCAGAATACGTTCTCTTTTACATAAGCTAAAAATAATTTAAGGGTATAATATTATGAATCTGGTCGTCCATCATTAAGCATTTTCGTGTTCGCTTGCTTTTTGAACCGATGAGAAGGAAATTATAACAACGACCGCTATTAGACAACGTACATAAAGCAGGTTCACTCGGAGTCTGTTTGTCGTCCGACAGTCGGATTTTTTATAATGGAGTTATAACGAAAACAATTTTGAACTTCATAGCTTTATAAATTATATTGTTGCTTAGTTTTCCATGCAATATTGTATACTTCATTTGAGTGTCAAAGTTTGATCGTATACCCATGATTGCAAGTAACCAGCACGTCAGTTTTGGCACTGTCTGTAAGGGATTAACATTGAGTATGATCGTTAATTGGCTATATAATTGATGGTGTGAACTTACATTGACCACAGGGAAAAATATAACGTCATATTTTGATGTTCTTACATAACTAACCTTTTCTGTGCTTTGCTATAATGACGACAGGCAGTGTGCTTTTATGTTTGCCTATAATATAGAAGAGAAAGAACATCAAAACACTCGACAATCAGATTGATACCTACACTGCCTTGTACAAATCAGATAGCTTCGTTTTAGATCTGTATGACAGAATCTTAGCTTGATAAGTAGCCTGCTGAGTAAAAACCGGTAAGGTGTGCACTGTACCTTACTATAAGTCCCACAAAATTCATATAAGACGAAGGAAAAGAGATAGTGTAAATAAAATGATTCCCTACCAAGCGAAATAGATGTTATCTGGAAATCGGCAAATGTTGGTTTTTCCAAGCTTATCCCGGGCCCCTCGGTACAAACAAATTTTTACTGTTATAGTTTCACGGTGCACTACCGGTCAAAATAGATTAATCAACCTGTTGAGCTTATTTTCGAAGCTGTAGCTGTAAAAGTTTGTTTGTACCGCCTGACTAGCTGGAAAACTCCAAAATATTCTTAATTCCGGACAGAGTCTATTTTAACAGTTGCTATGGTATAGCGAACATGAGAAGGACCAGTACTATTCACTTCCATTAAATGTCTCACATAAAAATAAAGCTGAGAAAGGGGTGATCCCAGACAAGCGGTGAAAACAACAATATGACATAAAATTGCAGTCTCGATTAAATTGTGTCTCTTTAGTCTTTAAAACTGCATGCCTCCAGATGAGTCAAACTATTTCAAGAAAATTATACTTGAGAAAAATGAATCTAGATTTAAGAAAAATCCATATTTAAGTAATATTTTAAATGTTTTGTGCAACTAATGAATGTTTTGGCAAATTTATCTCTATTTTTTCAGTGCGTGACTAGCGTAGTCATCGCTAGTTTTTTCATATTTTTACATTTTTAGGGGAGGGGGGGGAGGGGTATTTTGTAAATGTCGCGTGGAATGTACAGTAAGTAACTGTCTTTACTTATTCAACTTACTTGAAAATATTTCCGTTGTACAATATTGACGATTCAAAAAAATTTTGTTTGTCAGCCATTTGAAGATAAGAGGCTGCTGAAGGAGTCGAGGAATAAGGAGCAGAATAAGGAGGGAGGAATAATGGAGGAGAATAAGATAAGAAAAAGACAGGTGATGTTTGTGGGGCGATGCATAAGAGTTCAAATCAAGGTAACTATTATTCTTTGTATGCGAGTTTTCTATTATATTATATGAATCAGATTAATTAATGTTTCTATATGTTTTAATCGCAAATGTTTATTGTTCATTCATATTGAATTTAATGAATAATTAAGTGTCAGTGAGAAGAAATAATAAGAAATGATTACATTATGGCGGGTCCGACTGAACAGGAGGTGAAAAAATACCATATTAAAATATTTAAAAAAAGCATTGTTGATTGTTTGAGTTAATAACAAATGTTTTAAATGTAAATATTTCGTATTTTGACATAATATTGGTCATACTCGATTGTAAATTGTGTCAAAAATAGATGTTTTGCATTAATTACATTTTTTAATAATATATATTGTTGACAATTTAGATCGGTATCATAAAAAAACAGTATCACAAATAGAACCGCATGTTTTTTTTTGTAAAAACTAGGTCAGGTTATCATTTGGAAAAAAATTGCAGAAAAATGTAAAGACTGGATAGGTTCATATACGGTTGATTAAAGTCTCACGAGATCTTAGTTTACCGTCTTTAACGTTTCCGGCAACAGTTCTGAATTATATTGCAGATTCAAAATAAATTGAAATATTGTATCATTTAAAATGAGCCACCACGTGTACTAATTGCAAATAGTATTGCAAATATATATTTTCTTGTTTATTTTATTAATTGAACACACACGCCAAGTGATTAATTGGCATATGCGGTGTCTAACAGTTATTCTTTTGGTAAGAAATGTTTGTTGGCTACATATTTGCATAGACACCCTTGTTTGGGAAAAACCTGTGCTTTTTGTGATTGTTCTTTTCTTCATATTTTATCCAAAAACTATGAGACTGAATACCAAAATATCTGTCACAATGGCAAAAACGTGTTCTTGTATATCATTTTTTATAATGTATGTTATTTAACACGTGTGAATTGTGATGTTCTCAAATGTTTGTTATAAAGTTATTGTTATTCAGTCTACAGTTATTTCATATGTGGTTTTGGAACAGTCAAACTGTTGGCCCGAGATGGATGAACTGTTGCCCGAGGCCGAAGGCCCCCGACAACTGTTTGACTGTTCCCAAATCACATTTGAAATAACTGTTTTATTACCTGATCAATTACTGTTTTAACAGTTCTTGCCGACGAAAGAAGGAACAAGAAAATAGTTTTGCAAATATGCTAATAATTAAACTTTCTCAACTTAACAATCTTTTAACTATATCGTACCGCCAACATTCATTTTATATGTCTGTAGGTTTTCATATTGTTTTTCTCTGTTATTTCGTCAAAACAACTTTAGAAAACAGTAATTGTAATTTTGCTATTATCAACTTTAATTGGGAATCCTCTATGACGTCAGATCACGCGAGGGAAACAATCCGAGTCGAAACTATTGATGGCAGATATTGTCTCTTGTGAAATTCATGCTTTGGTAACATAAACAAATACAAATCTGTTTGTATCAAACACGTCATTTTAGTGATTTTATTTATATGAAGTTAGCTCTCACGTAGCTTTTGAATTTGTATGATGATAAAAGAACAATGATAAAAATATAAGGTAGATTGCCCATGAAGAGCAAATGTTTATTGTTCAGTTATATTGAAGTAAATGAATGATTAAGTATGAGTGAGTAGTGATAGTAAAAAATTATTACTAAATTTTGTGAGCCGGCTTAACAGAAGATGAGAAAAAATGGTATTGAAAAAAACAAACACAACAAAAACAAACCAGAAAGACATTGTAATTAATGTTTAAGTTCATTAGAAAGGCCTTTTTGACATTGCTATTTTGTTTTGTTTAATAGTATGTGGACAAAGGAAAATCTATTTCATAAAACAAATTGCTTAAAAATATTTGCCTTTGTACACTCATTAAAGAATTTATTTGAAGTTGGAGTATGGAATTATTTCAAGAGGATATAACCGACATATTTTTTTTTATTTTGAATAACGTAACTTGTCTCAAATGTAAATTTCGTTTTTTATGTTTTCTCAAAAGTTAGGAGAATTCTATTGCTGAATAGGTAGACATTTATCTCACTTTTAAGACGATTATTCAACCGTCATTCATGGTTTTGATTTCCTTTAACAAAATAATTTGTTTTTCACTGCGAATTTTTAGGTACTAAAAATGGGTAAGTTGTCCCTTAATTTGAAAAAGAAAAATTTTGTTTATAAATTAAAGCATAAAATATAATCAACTTGTGATAAGTGATTCGAAGTACTTACAGTTATGATGGCAGATATTGTCCCGAGTGAAATTCATGCTTTGGTTACAAAGTCAAATACAAATTTGTTTGTATTAAACAAGTCATTTTTATGATTTTATTCACGAAGTATGAAAAAGATTGGCCATTAAGGGCAAATGTTTATTGTTCTTTCTAATTGAATATTTAATATTTAAGGGAAAAATCGGCCAAAGTTAATAAAAATTTTATCCTTAGGAGTTTTATGAATAGCAATTAAGGAAATTTTTTAAGGAAATCTTACGTTTTTTAAGGGAACTCTTAGAATCTAAGGGAATTGTTTCCCTTAGGAGCTTTATGACTAATAAAAACATATTACTGGAAAATTTTTGACGTTACAATATCTATGACTTTACTTTATTGTTAATGTCAAATGTTTAATGTTTAATTGTCAAAACAACATGTATGAAATGCTTTCGTTGCTAATATCTGCTTGCTCAAAATATATTTTTTCCAGCAATATGATACCCTGAACATGATGGATGTGTTGAAGGGGAAGATAAGTGAGTTGGAGAAACGACAAATCGAGGAGAATAAGATAAAAGAGGCACAGAAGGGGATGAAGGAGGAGCAAGGCAATAAGGTAATGATAACAATTGTATATTATAATTTTATTTTACATGTGAGTATTCTATGATATATTTTAGCCATATTTTGTAACTAAAATGTTTGTTTTTGTTTCAATGGAAATCTATATTAATTATTTTTTATAATCATTTTTATAGAGCAAAAATAAGTATGGTTGAATGTTTGATTTTATAAGCCTTTAAGTACGAAAACAAAATTTAAACAGAAACCCAATAGTAAAATATACAATAATACATACATAATGATAAAGAACATCAATTTGTAACGTTATGCATAGCGCTTGTAAATTGTAATGATTTAATGTATATGAACACTTATTAATAAATAAGTTAAGTAGACCATACTAAAAGTACGTGGGTGATCGAAAAGTTCCTGGTTATTTGTCATGGAATTCTAGTTAAAATATTTTTACATTGAGTTTGGTCAAAGTCGACATGGATAAAATATATAGACTTCCCTTAGCCTTTAATTCGTTGCTTTGAGTTCATATTCCTAAGATGTTTTAAGCCCTCTTACTGTTACAAAACATAGAGTAGGCTAGTAAAACGTGTACGTAGGAACGTATCGTATATGTAGTAGATGACCTCTCATGAGTTTTATGCCTTAGGTCCGAATTCGAGGTATATGTAAGACTGAAATTTAAAATCCTGGTCTAATCAAGACCTTCTTCAAGTTTTTATTTATTATACACTCTAAACACTATCGGCGATTAAAATGTAATGCACCTGGTGGTCTGTCCGTCCGTCTGTCTGTCTTTGCAAACATTTTGGGTTTATGTGGTTATAAGAACAAGAGGTAGCAGCGAATTTTCTTCATTCCATAAAAAATTCTCAGGCTTATATTGGTTCTATGTGGTTTTAATCACATAAAACAAAATGTTCCTCCCAATATATTTGTTTGTTACCTCCCTTTATTTCCTGAAATCTATTCCTTTATAATGTTCTTTTATACCAAACTCTAAGTTTTTAGTTTGTTCTTTTCTGGTATGATTATTATTATTGAGGATCTTTGGTAATGTGATTTTGGAACATGTAAATTTTAATTGAAAATGATGTTACTTAAAATATGCAAATTCACAAAATATCAATAAGTTGAAAATGATACATGTGTGTGTCATTTTTAGGCCATTCATCAAAACATGTCTGGCGTACTAGCAGTTGTTACAATGCAACTGTAAGTTGCAAGTGTAAGATTATAAACTTAAAACAGAGTTTTAAATAGAAAAATCTTTACCGGCTTTCACATGTCATACTGCTGACGAGATTTCAATGAATCATCACGGGAGTGATCAGTACCATATCTATACATTCCACATGGCTGTACAAAATGGCCGCAAAACCTATAAATAGAAAAATCTTGTTTGGCTTTCACAGGTCAAACCGCTGGTGGGGTTATAATGAAACTTCACAAAAGTGATCAGTACCATCTCTAATTGTGCATATCGTCGGCACGTTCTGCTTCGCTGCGCACAATGGTCGCCAGAGATATAATAGAAAATTCTTGTCCAAACTTCTGGCGGGAGTTCAATGAAACTTCACATGAGTGATCAGTACCATCCCTAGGCATACATTGGCTGCACAAAATTGTCGCCAGAGCTATAAATAGAAAAATTTTGTTTCAGTAAAATTTGTTTAGACTATTTCTACAACACTAATGAAATAAATGAAATTTAAGGAATGATATTATCAAAGGCAGTCGGGCGTATATTACCGGTATTTTGGCATTTGTTGCGGATTTTATGTCAAAGCTTCATTTCGAAGGCACAAGTCATAATTTTTCAGTGACAGCTCTTGTTTTACATTTTCCGACAGCACATACGTGTACCTAATTTTGGACTTGTAATGATCCACCAAGTACGAAATGTACAAATGTGTATAAATAAAGGCTAGCATCATAAAAAACCAAACTTTCACTGTTCGCAATATTTTCTTTAAAGTATATGTTATTAAAGTAAGGTCACCCAAAAATGTCTTATCAGCCTTAATAGGAATCAATTACACCGAAATTGTCTTTAGAAAAACAAGAAGTATCTTTAACTTGCGTATGTTATTTCGGCGGAAAATATAAGCTCAACATTTGTTTGTTTATAATGACAGTGTTTTACATGATACTGAATATATTTTTACCACAATTGACAAAACATTTATTGGTTTGAACTAGGATACACTGTTAGAATTGTTTCTGCTTTACACCGGCGTATTCATTCACACATCAGTATGTGATTTATTAATATGCCATCATACATGTATGAAAATCATGAAATTCAAATCAATTGAACATATTAATAATCATATAATATCATGAACACTGAATATAATCTACTGAGAGTACAATGCATATATATTGCCCATTATGGACTATTGTTGTATTATGGGATAAAGGAAACAAAAACTACATAAATAATGTTGTAAATTACAAAACGAATTGCTAAAATCATTTTACAGCAACCACAAAGATCTCCGTCAATGAAGCTATTCGAAGCTCTAAACAGGTTACCATTTCATGACAGATGTGAATATCACACGGCGGTAATTGTTTTTAAAACTTTAAATAACTTGTCATCAAGTTATATGACAAAGTTGATGACTTTATCAAACAACAAAATATACAATTTAAGATCTACTAAAAGAATTAATATCGTATTATAGAAAAGACCTAAATCAAATATATTACAAACGCATTTACTTATCATGGCATGAACATTTAAAACAGTATATCTTTAAACTATTTTTTCATAGTACCAAAATAACTTCAGAGATTTTTAATGTTTAAATGAAGTGTCGTTTGGCATTAGTATGCACATGAGTTTCAGGGATCGTGCGTTATTGGTGGTCTCGTCATTTTAGACAAAGACTAAAAAAAAATCATTTATATCACAGTTATTTCTTATGTCCTATACTGTAAGTTGTAAACTCGAGAATTGATTAATTTTAAAAGTTGTGTAAACTATTGTAAAATGTTTAATAAGGGAAAGCACGGTTCACACGTCTCAAATATCCGGGAAATTAAGGTAGAAACTTTACTTTCAAAACTCCTTTAAATTAATTAGGAACTTGGACGTGCACGCGTTTTGACAGGAAGAACCTTTAGATTATTTTATTAATTTTAGAAACAGGACTAATGAGATTCCTTGATTTAAGTATTTTTTTAACTGACTAATGGACATCAACATATTAACAGTTCTTCCCTGTATATTTTATAGGAAGTCTAATCGTTCTCAGACAGATATCTCCCGAAAGATTATGCTTCATTAAACCGTGTCGCAAAAAGACTGAATACAGTCGTGAAAACATACAGTCAAGATTATAACTAGGCACTGTAGGAGCACATTTTTCTCGGAGCACATTTGTCTCACGACGTGTGACTGATGTGCTCATATACATTCATATTTGCGACAAATTGGAAATGAGGCAGATGTGTTCGACACACAATAAAAAGGACACTCGAAACACATTTGTCTCACATTCTTCCATAAAAACTAAAAAGGTGATAATTATGCCCACCGTATAACGGCTTTAAGCCATTGTTCTGTGTTTTATGTATCCAAAATACCTTTTAGGACACTTCCGGTCCATCAAAAACTTCATGCCTCTGCATAGGAGTCATATATTAACTTAAAGAATATCCCTGTTCCTCACGTCACAAATTCACAATGAATATCTTTATCAGTGCAGTATTCATAACCCAATTCATTCGAGACCATTCTTATCGTTATTAATCGTGACACGTTTCTTTCCGATTCTTAAAGTTTTATATATGATTTAAGAAATATTCTAAGCAACAGAAAGGTAGTATCCTCGGTGGCATAAAAGGGACATATGATTTTCTTATTAATTACTTGCGCACGCGATAGCTTTTTGCCGTTGAACAATATCAAAGAATTTACTTGATATGTTGATGAATGAAATCTTCATGCATAAAATTGTTCCGGTGCTATTATCTACTTCTTAATACATATTTTTTCCCAGCCAAATCACTTGATACCGTTACCTTTCGAAAGGAAGCTGTTTAGTCCGGAGGAATCGACGCTGTCGTATTCGGATGTGATGGCGTTTCAAAGGACGCTAATAGAGGTAATTCTTAATAATGATTATTTTAACGTCGAGTTCGGTCAAAGTCGACGTGCATTTAATACTAATCTGTTGCTTTGGGTATAATAAATGATGTTTTAAGCCATTTTTATACTTTAACAAACTTCAAGATTTTATTTCAAGCACATATAAAAAAAGGTTTATTTTAATATATGTACAATTATTATGCTTTATAGCAAAAAGTAGAATAAGGAATGAAAGTCTTATATTTCTACACTTAAAAAGTAATGTTAAATTAAGCATATGATGATGTTGTAAATAATAATTATTTTTTTCATTGATTAAAAAAATCATTAGAAGAAAAAGTTCAGAGTTAAGACTTTTTATGTACAAATGTAATGTCCGGGATCGTGAGCGTTATTGGCGGTCTCGTCATTTTAGACAAAACTTATAAAATATCATTTATATATAGGTTATTTCTTAGGTTCTATATATTGTATCCTCAAGAATTAATCAAATTTCAAAAGTAGTGTTAACTATTGTAAAATGTATAATGATTAAGAGCAAGGTTCACAGATCTCAAATATCTGAGAAATTTAACTAGAAACTTTGATTTCAAAACCCCTTTAGATTAATTGGGAGCAAGAGTTTCAGGAAGAATCTTTAGATTATTTCATTAATTTCGAAAAATGACTAATAAGATTCCCTGATTAAAGATTAAAAAACAAACAAACTGAGTAATGGACATCTACCTATAACAGTTCTTCCCTGTATATTTTACAGGAAGGAAGTCTAATCCTTTTCCCGAAAAATTATGCTCCATTAAACTGCGCCGTGCAAGTTGAAACCAACCAAGATTATAACTTGGCACCTCGTTTTCGAAATAATTGGACATGCTGCAATCAATTCGTTTTTATGTCATTTTGCAGTTTTTCGCAGTAAAAAATATAGCTCCGCTGTTTCAATGCTACTGTTTGAAAAAGACACGAGCGTGTTTATTTACACGGGCAAATTGATGGGGAAAAACTATTTAACTCACAATGTTTCTTATTTACTCAATATATATCACGTAATAAGCATAACAGCCATGTAATTATTATGTAAAGACAGGTAATGTTTGCAATCAAAGATAAGGATTAAAATGAAATCAACTAGTTATAATTGTTCCGTCCAGTATTGAAGTACTTACAGTGATTATGACAGATATTGTCTTTAGGGAAATTGATGCTTTCGTAACGTGCACATTTACAAATCTGTTTGTATTAAACAAGTCATTTTTATGATGTCATTCATTAAATACGCTCTTACGTAGCTATTTTTGTTGGTATGATAATAAAAGGATAATGAAAACATAAAGAACAAGAATACATAAAGATAACAACCAAAGAAGATTGCCTATGAAATTAAAATGAATCAAATTATTTTGATGTATATAAAGGTCACAGTGACATCGAAATAGAATCTTGACCGATCAATAACTAACAAATCGTGAATAAGTGAAACTTAGTAGGTATATTGCCCATTGTTATAAGATGATCCTAATGATGTTTAAGTCATAAGGTTAAAGGTAAAAGTCAATATTATATTTACCGTAGATTTCTTTGTCGATCAAGAACTTCTTTGATATATTTACAACTTATTCCGCTTACATTATAAGTATCTTTCAACACCACCTACTTTCAGCACAATTACGTCTTGCCTGATGCTTTAATTATAAACTTAAACTTTTGTTCATAACCCGATAGAAATAAGATCGATTTGTTGAAAGTATTTCGTTCATAATTGAATTACTAAAAGGCCTTACGATCGATATTGTATTTTTTAACAAACAGAATTCTGTTTGAATTTCATCCTATGAAGATATAAGAATAATATTTAAGAAGAAAAAAATGTTTTCCAGTGGGATCCATTTGATGAGAAGATGAAGATTAGCAGATTCTTGGTATGAAAATTTAATAAATATACACTGAAGTATCAAATTATATTAGCAATTCTTTAATTTCTTGTTTTTTTATTAATGAAAATGTGATTTTTAAATATAAGTTAACCACAACATAGAATTTAATTTTTTATCATCCACGTACATGTATTTAGGATTTTGTCCGTGTAAATATTGTAAAACGACAAGTTTTGTTTCTAATTCAAAGGTAAGCATAAAAATATAATCAACTTGTGATAAATGTTTCGTTCAGTATTGAAGTACTTACAGTAATGATGACAGGTTATGTATCTAGAGAAACTCCTGCTTTGGTAACGTACACACATAAAATCTGTTTGTATTAAACAAGTCATATATTATATGATTTCGTAAGCCCTGACGGAATAGCATAAGATATTTTTTTGAAACTCCAACACTGCGGATGGCAAGTAGATGACCATTAACATTTTGGGGTCATAAGGTTAAATGTAAAGATCACAGGGACACTTTAAGTAAAATCATTGTCAGATCAAAGACTTGTCCTCATTCTTTTCTTTTTCTTTGATATATTTTTGTTTCTATTCATGCATCTAACGGCAGTTTTTACTTACTATTAGACTATAAATTATCGCTCGGATCTCTTGCTTTTATTAATTCTAATAAAAGCATAAAATCAACTCATTAAATGTTTATTTTCGTTCATTACAAGGGAAATTTATGCTTCGATTCTCATATGGACTGAGACACAGGCGTGAAACATGCAAAATTATATATATCAGACGTCTTTTTTTCTTTTAAATTACAATAACTTATTTGATAAGCTACAATACTAAATTGTACTTATGATAAATACTTAATTCGTTATACCAATATAAATGTTAATCAATCCATACCTCAGTGCATTTGTTTTATTTATTATTTTAAAATAAACATTAAATTGCAATATTCTTAAAATTAAACAGCATATTTTGCCAAGTTAAATGGCACATTTGTTTCTACAAAAAAGTTGATTACCTTGTCAGAGCACCACTTCACAAATGAACCCCCTTTTACTTTTACCATGAATATACCCGTGCATATTTTATGTATTGAACTATTAAAAAGGAAAAGTTAAAGTTATACCACCTTTTACACACTTTACCTCTTGCTTGTTTCGGTAAACCAAGGATGAATAACTGACTTCAAATGAAAAAATCACGATTAGAATGTTAAGAGTTTTATAACAACATTATTGTATTCATAAATATATGCAATACTAATCTTATTCTACTGTTTTCCATGAAACTTTTGATTTGAACGGGAATTTATATGCAACCACTTACTTTACCTAACGGCTTTTCATATTGGTTAATTTAGTATGTTATACCACTTGTATAATTGTTTGTTAAATTTAGCAACCTTAATAATTCCAGATATTTAACAATTCAAATCAGCCATGCATATGTGCTACTCTAAAATGAAGTATATATAATGTTGCTCATACCTGGTAGAACATCAATTGAGTATTGCCAAGTGATTAATACTTATTTATAAGTTTCAAAAGTATACGGTTAGCATAGGTTTTACAGTACGGAGAAGAAATATCAAAAATAAATCTGCAGCAATCCATACTCCAAAACACTGTAAATATATTTAAAATGCTTACCTGTCAACCAACAAATGTGTATTCCATCCATCACGTCCAAAATTACATAAGTAAATAAAACATAAACATGATAATTTTACAAACCCACATCCTGTCCTAAATTGAAACTTCTCCAAAACAAAATGGCGAAAGTAAAGGTTGCACTAAATCATTGATCATTTAAAATTTAACAAAGAAAAACTAAGCCAGAAATTTAAATATTAATAATCTCTAGAAATAACAAAGAAAGAACTTTTGCCCATAGAATGAAATACTCCAACTTATGAAATTTTACCTTGTAAAGTATTCAGCCGAGTTCATAAACTCATATAAATGAAATTCTAATTAACAAATATTAAATACAAATATTATAAATATCAGTTATATACAGAAAGAACAAATCTTCTCTAGGAAAACGTGAAAAACCATTTTCACCAGAAATATTTTCTCCAAGGTATTAGGGTTTACCTGGTAAAGAAACATAGCTAACTTGAAAAGAATCTAATTCAAGATGAGCACCCTGAAACATAATTCAAACACATATGCTCCCAATTTTCCATAGTATAATCAATCTACATATAGTACAAATAATATGGATACGAGTAAGAGGGAGGTTAGGTTTAATGAATGGACGAAAAGACTTCAAAATTTTAATTTTCCTAGCTAGAAATTAATTCTAAAGCTATATTAAAAGTTTGGATTTCATGCCAGTACTAACAAAGTTATCTGGACGAGGCAAAACTGAAGACACATGAATAGTATCAGATTGATCAGTAAAAGATTTTACAAATTAAATTTCAATACAAAGAAGAAACTTTTCCAGCAGATAAACATTTAATGTCATTGGTGTCAACATGAATAATGTTATTATCATAATTCAAATTAACTGCTCTTTTGGCTAACTTTGAAGGCAATTGTGTGAAATAGTGTTTCAGAAAGATCGAATATCAGTGTCCTAAATATCAGAAACAACATGCTAGGCAATACAATCGAAAATTATGATACATTTCTTGACGATTTAAACGGGAAACTGAAGAAAAAAGAAAAGCAAAGTATCAATGAAAATCTAAACTTAAACAATTGTACATATATGTGAAAAATTAACCTTAATATAGGAAGCTGAACAATCTATCAAACACAATAATACAAATTTAAATAAATGCAATCAGAAGTCTAAAAATTAAACCGTTGACCAATGAGATGAGTTGATATAACCAAAAGTCAACTTGATTTGTCACTCACAAGAATTAAACGATTTTAGGGGGGGGGGGGATTAAAGGATTAAAATAGGTTAAATGCCGGTACGATTGTCATAACCAGTACCGCAAATACTCCACATGTTACCTGTTCAAGCCTTTGTGCTTAAACAAAATTAAGGTTTGCTGACAGAATTAATATACGGATGATTCAATTCTCCTGAGATTTAATAGGAAGTCCAATTAGTGCCTCAAGTCCAAACGCACAGCAAGTCAAAGAAGCGCAACAGATCCAAAAGCGCAGCCAGTTCAAAAAGTATAGCAAGTCCGAGGAGTGCAGCAGATCCAAGAGGCTCAGTGAGTCCAAAAGTGAAACAGGTTTAAAAAGTGCAGCAGATCAAAAAAGGGCCTCATGTTAAAACTGCGCAAAAAGCCATCCAAAACATAAGCTGCTCTGTCACAGCAAATCCCTTTCAAATTAATCAAAGATACCTTAAGTAGTAGACCAACACAGACTTCCGCCTTACATCTGTTATTCTTATTAGGACAATGAATATAAATTCAGCACTGTGTAGAAAAGCAAGCTGCAAAAATAATCGTTTGTATGTTAAATTGTGTTACAATTAGAAATGAAAGGGCTGTGAAACGGAAAAATCAATCACTTAATACAACTGTTTCTGCAAAATAACATTAAGGTAGATAATATGTATATACTTATTTATACTCGTGCATTACATGTTCCACTTATTTTCTATTTCTAGGAATCTAATCTAAGAGAATACCTTGAAATGTTTGGTGAGTTACTATACTTTTGCTAGATTTTGATATGTGTTTTTATGTTTTTACTTTGAAATGTTACATTTGAATTTATTTAAATGATTCAAAGTAAGTATGATTCAAAACTACAACAACAAAAAGGTAAACAAACGATATAAAACAACAACAACAAAAAAACGAGTTGATCGTTAAATATAAATAATGTACGAGTATTCCATCTATATATTTACCTTGCATATGTTATATACTTAAAATATCAAACTGTTCGGCATTGTTAGATTTTGTTGTATTGTTAGATTTTCTTCAAACAAAGTTTTCAATTTTGATGGTCACCTAAGCATTTATATATATATATATATAGATACATATATGTAACATGAAAGTTTATAGGTTTAAGTTATACCCCGTCAAACGAAGAATTGAGCTTGTCAGGATCTTTCATTCTGTCTTTATGTCTGCCTGTCTATCAGTCCATCTTATAAGTTCCGAACTAGAAATGAGACATTGTAAAAAACAAATTTATGTAGAACCTCCCATTTGGTTGCTGTTTGATCACTTAGGGTCGAGGTCAAGGTCACAGTTAATAAAATAGAAAAGTGGTTTCCGGACGATAGTCAGAGTCAGGAATGAGATATTGTAAAGCAAGGCTATTTTAGGAGCTCGCTTGGGTTTTGCTTTTTGGACTTCTTAGGTTTAAAGCCAAGACCACTGTTACGAAAAGAGAAAATAGGTTTCGGACGATAACTATAGTCACTTAAAATAGAAAATAGATACCTCGTTTTGGATTGGTTTTTGATCCCCACCCTCTAGCTCAAATACAAGGTCACTGTTGACAAAATTAGAAAAAAATAGTTTCCGGACGATAACTAGAATTAGGAGTGAGATATTATAACCAGACATTGTATATAGCAATATTATGTAGAGATCTCGCTTGCTGTTGCTTTTGGAGACCCTAGGTTTAAGTTGAAATAGTAACATTGTTCCCGGTTGATATCTTTTTGTACATATTTCTGCGAATATTTATTTTTGTGATACTATAGAGGTACTTTATAGTATGTATATATAGATAGAATTCTTGCAATGTAAAAATGAAGGATAAATGGCATTACTGACAGGTGAATGTGTAATAACCATTATAGAAGAAAGTTACAATAAAATGTGAGACATTGTCTTTATGATTAAAACATCTTTGTACAAATAGCAACGCATCAAAATAAAGTTTGACAAGGTTGTGATAAAGTGAAACATCTAAGGGATAGAGAAAGTAATTTGTTCTCGAATCCGGTAATTATGTTCATTCATAATGTTAGACAGATTATTGTTATAATTATTATGGGTATTTTCATACAAACATTTTATGATAACAATTTTGCAACTTTTTGAATATTTACTAGGAAGAAATGCTATGAAGCAGCATACAGCACCCCAGCAAAAAGAATTTTTTTTCAATATCACTAAAGATCACGGCGGGTTTGACGATACAGAAAAAGGTATATAGTCGAAACATACTGATAAAAACTTGGACATTATTTCCGATGACGTTCTCAATACAGATTTATTCATTACAAAAACGTTTTTTTTTCAGTTTTGAATGTCGAGTAAAAATACTAAATAAACAAAATTCAAACAGAATTTTGTGAGAATTGGTATCGTTTTTTATGTTTTTTTTTTATATTCTCTAGGTTGGTTAAAAAACTATCAATTTTTTCTTTATTCCACGTTTCCATAAAAAATTGCAATACATAAATTACAATCAGGTAAGATAATAAATTACTACTACAGAAGTATTAACTTGAAAAGGGTGCGAATGTCCAAAGTGTAAGATATAAACCCTATGTCAAATTTATAATTTCTCGACATTGGAAAACTAGACGTAAAATAGTTTAGAAGAAAGGGGCACACAGTTAAATGGAATGATCATTGTGTTAAAATGCGATAGATTGGCCAGTTTAAGGGACTCAATAATTCAATTTTTTATTGTATCAGTCATTTTCTATCATCAAAGCCTCACAAATAGGTAACAAAGTGATGTGTTTTCCTTGTGACAATACCCTATTATCTATCTTATATCGTATAATAAGGAAATACATGGAATAAAGGCTGAAATTACCACAAAATGAAAATTAACAGACATTTAAAAAAAATGAAAACGGGAGATCAAATGCACATCAATAAATGAAAATTCGAGTCTTCAACATGAACCTGTTCAATTACCCATAACAAAAGGTCAATAGACAAACAGGAACACTTAACACATCAATTGATTTGGACTGGCATTTTAGAGAAATTATCGTAAACACCCTAAAATAAATATGAGATTTGATCAATTTTATATCTTATCTATATAAATATATGTTTTACATTTCAGTAAGAGGAAAACGAGCAATATTTGCCGACTGTCATATTGAATCCCGTCCTGGACAGGCTGATAATCTTTTTGTAGTACATGCTGAATGCAGACCTAAGTGTCCGTTTGTAGTAAATGATAAAAAACGGAATGCGGTAAGCACATCTAAAACAAACTAATTATGATTAAGATAAGAAAAAGAAATAAAAAAGCCTTACGGAATGAATGACTTCAAAGAGAACGTACATTTACATGTAGTACTTCTAGCCACATAAAAATCCAAATGTAAGTTGGACAGACGGCGAACGGACGGACAGACTGACAAACGAAGGTCATTTGTGGAAGAAAATTAACAATAAATACACTTTTTCAGGGGCAAACTAATGATGTTGCTACTCAAACAGTTCCAGTTCTCGAACCAGGTGAAGATATTTTTAGCAAGTTTTAGCAAATTCTCTTACTTTTAACATAATTTATTATATTGATAATGGATAGTTTTAATAAATTTTACACAAATTAAATCATATCATGCACATGCATCAATTGTATACTTACTGGGCACAATAAGTTAAAAGCAAATAGTATGTTTATGTGTAAAAGTCAATTTATTTATTTCAAATCGAAGGATTGAATTATTACACATCATGTCTACAAGTGTGTCAATCAATGGGATAGGGGTGTCCATGGCCTGTTTACTGTTCACACTATGCAATTAAATGTTTTTATGTAGTTTTTAATTAATTATCACACTCCGTTTATAAACTCACACATTCTTATGGAGTGAGTTACTATACTTTTGCTTGATTTTATGTGTTTTTATGTTTTTACTTTGAAATGTTACATTTTAATTTATTTAAATGATTCAAAGTAAAATAAAAACCCCAACAAAAAAAAAAAGAATCAAACGATACAAAAAAACAACAACAAGAAACTAGTTGATCGTTAAAGATAAATAATGTACGAGTATTCCCACTATATATTCACCTTTCATATGTTATATACTTAAAATATCAAAATGTTCGGCACTGTTAGATTTTGTTCTACTGTAAGATTTTGTTCAAACCAAATTTTCAATTTTTCTGATCATATTAATATATTCATTGATACATATATATAACTAGAAAGATATTACGTTAAAGTTATACCCCGTCAAACGAAGAATTGAGCTTGTTAGGATCCCTCATTCTGTCTTTCTGTCTGTCTGTCTGCCTGTATATAAGTCCATCTTATTGGTTCCGAACTAGAAATAAGACATTGTAAAAAAACAAACTTATGTAGAACCTCTCATTTGGTTGCTGTTTGATCACTTAGGGTCGAGGTCAAGGTCAAACTTACAAAAATATATAAGTGGTTTCCGGACGATAGATAAAGTCAGAATTGAGATATTGTAAGGAAGGCTATTTTAGGAGCTCGCTTGGGTTTGCTTTTTGTACTTCTTAGGTTCTTAGGATGTGATATTATAGAGGTTCTTTATAGTATGTTTATAACGATAGATACTTGCAATGTATAAATGAAAGATTAATGGCATTAATGAGAAGTTAATGTGAAATAACTGTTACAGAAGAAATTTACAATAAACATTGTCTTTATGATTAAAACGTCTTTGTACAAATAATAACGCATGAAAATAAATTGGACAAAGTTGAGAAAAAATGATGCATCTGAGGATTGTTATCGAATCCGGTAGTTATGTTCATTCATAATGTCAGACTTTGATTATTGTTATAACTTTTATTTGTTATAATTATTATGGGTATTTTCATACAAACATTTTATGAAAACCATTTTGCTGCTTTTTGAATATTTACTAGGAAGAAATGCTATAACGCTACATGCTGCACCCCAACAAAGCGGAAAATTAAATGACATCGTTGAAGATCAATGCGAGTTTGACGATACAGAAAAAGGTATATACTCGAAACTTGCAGATAAAAACTTGGACATTGTTTTCGTTGACGTTCTCTATACAAATATATTCATTACAAAACATTTGAACAGTTTTGAATGTCTAGCGAAAAATAAAAAAATACTAAGTTAACAAAACTCAAATAGGTTTTATGTAAGAATTGGTGTCTTAATGTTTATGTTTTTGATTGTGAACTTTTCTAGATTGGTTAAAACATATTTATTTCCTCTTTCTTCCATGTTTTTAATGCTAAATAACAATCCATAAATTACACACTGGATCAAACTCTCACCGGAAAAAAATTTCTACAGCTCATTTTAGTAAAGACATACAACATAATTATGTAATAACAGTTCACTGTCCTTGCGTTTAATTTCAAACATTTTAACAAGAAGATAATGAGTAACTACTACGTAAGTATTATCTTGTAAAGGATCCTAGAGTCGAGCTGAGCATGTCCAATGTGTAAGATATATTGCCTATGTCAAATTAATAATAATTTCTCGACATGGAAAAAAGGAGATAACTAGACGAAAATAGTTTAAAACAGAGGGACAAAAAGTTAAGTGAAAAGATGACTGTGTTAAAATGCAAAAGATTACTCTTTTTAAATAACTTAATAATTAAATCTTTCATTTGCTGATGTATTAGTCAAATTCTATCTTAAAAGCCTCACAAATAGGGAACACAGTAATGTGTTTCCCTTGTGACAGTACCCTATATATCTATCTTATATCGTATAGTAAGTAAACATATGGAATAAAGGTATGTTGTACCAGACAAAAGTAACACATGCAAAACGAAATAAAGAGTAACATTTCATGCTCCATACCTTATATAAAATATTTTTTTAAAACACCTAGATATACCAAATTCCAAAGTTAAATGATGAATTCACGCAATATATTTGTTAGCAATGTAAGTTCTATGCGGAAATTCTATGCATGAGACACTTTAAGTAGTATTTACTTGTTTTTCAGATGTTTGATGATAAAATATTTTTCTCCAATAATCATGTAATTAAGAAAAGGTTTTAATAAAAATAAATCATTGAGCAAAATGAAAACGGGAGATCCAATGCACATCAATAAATGAAAATTTGAAGTCTCTGTTCAACATAAATTTGAATAATATATTTCAATTTACATTGTACATATAAAATGTCATATAGTTAATGCACTTATGATCTATTTCAGAGATACAAGAACTGGACCAACTTCTTAGGTGTAAAGTATGTCTCGACAGTGATGCATGCATCGTTTTCCTTCCTTGTCGTCACATGTCGACATGTGAATATTGTGAAGGCTTTCTTCATCATTGTCCTGTGTGCAGATCATTTATCGAAGAGGCTGTGAAAATAAATGAGGAGTAGATGACTTATCGAAAAAGCTTTGTTTTGGTTTTGGGAAATGCATTAAATGTGTCAAGATTTTTTTTTATTCATTTGTGTACATTTCTGTATTCATGGACGTATATTACTCTAATGAATATATTACTTTATAATTATGTAAAACATTGCTTCATTCAGTCGATGAACAATTATGAACAAAATATTTACAAGAAATAGACGCCGCGTTTGAATGAATACATTTATAAGTGTTTTAGATGAAATTGAAGTAATATTAGAGAGATCGAATCGAATTGATCGAACGATCAATTAAATAGGGCTGGGGCGAGTATCCGAGTACTCGGATAATCACGAATCAAAGTGAAAAATCGAGTTTCAATATTCGTTAGCCCAGAGATCGTGGATCGCGATCTAATTTTTTTTTATATACATTCACTGTTTCTCACACTCTTAAAATCGTGAGTACAATGTGAATATAAATTATATGAAGTTTACCTATAAATACAATTTGCCGGTTAAAGACTATGTACCATGATGCTGAGCTAGGAAGTAATTGGTTTCAAAAAACAAAATAAAAATACTCATCCAAAGAATAAAAACATAAACAAAGTTTATATGTTAAATGTTTAGTATTGTTGCTGTGTTTTTTAAATAAACATGTTTTTATAACTATGGTACATGTTTTTATGAGTGTCTTGATAACAAAAGATTTGTGGTTCGATTTGTGAATCGTAAATGCTAAATCGTGGTTCGGATCGGATCGTCACTTATCCGACGATCCACACCCCTACAATTAAATGTTATCAAAAAAACTTTGACACTCTATCAAAATAAACTACAATGAAATTTTAATTTGTATAAGAATAGGTTTAAAAAGTACCTTAGGTAATATTGATGTAACATTTGGTTAATATATTTGAAAAAGTGGTCGACGAAACAAGATGGCTTTTCGTGCATATTTCAAAACATAGTTTTTAGAAATTTGACTGTTTCAATAGAATCGAGTACATAATACAAAACATTTTCAAATTGTAGAAATGAAATAAAGACCACTATTTAATTAATCACACAAAATAAAAAGCTGAATATACATTTTCTATAAAATATGATGTTTAATGCCGATCCCCATAACCCCAAACTGCTATGTATTTGTTTTTTTTCTAAAAAAAAAACATAATGTTAGAAATGTTAGAATAAATAATCTGAAAATCATATGATCTTATGTTGTATAATCCCACCAATTTTCATTTAATGGATTCCAATAACCTATTAGTACTATGCCTTATTATTTAAGAATAGTCGTCTTTTTAAATGTTCATATAGAACGTATTATTCGTATTTTATGTTATTACCCCTCACTTTTTTATTATGTAAGTTTCCCATAGGCCATAAATAGTTATCCTCTTGTTAAAGCAAGTGTTTGTCTCTGTTTCCGATTAAACCAAACAATTATCTATGAAATGGTAAAGTGAATATTGATATTAAGTCCGATGAAAGTCTTTTTAAAGTCAGTATATCCTAAAAATAAAAACTACCTTATTACCTGATGAGTTGATAAAATAAGTAGTACAGACTTTTATTAGTAAAAATGTTAAAGGAACTCCACTGATCCTTTTTTTACCTCGTAGTTCGGAAAATAATTTTTCAAAATACCAATGACTTGTTTGCAAAAATTCAGATCAGTTGTTCGCTCTGTTTTTTCCAGAATAAATATTCTTATTGTGAAAATGATCTAAAAGTGAAAATCATTGCAACGTTCTCAATGAAATCGGACTAAGAATAGCACAAAAATACTATTTTCAATTTATTTCTGAGTATATTTCTTGATTATCTTCTGCATATTTTGTATTTATCTTAAATATCTCACCTGATCCATGTAGGAAATTCAAATCTTAAAAAAATTTTTTTTAAGAAATTCAAATCATTTGAACTTCATTGGAACTCCTTTAGTTTATAACGATAATTCATCATCTTGCGAAACTTAATTTATAATAGAAGAGAATGCAATTGAAGATTATTATTATATTGACATTTTTAAGTGGATACTAGACATAATATGCAAACGAGTCCAGTTGGAGAATTTCCACATTTTTATACAGTTTGACACAAAGTAAAGATTTAGAGATTTGTAAGGTTTTGAACACTTTAAGAAGTATAAAGTAGAAATAACTTATAACTTGAGAAAATAAATATTCAAATGTAACGAACTATATCTTTATCGTTTAAAGTATACAAAGGAATCAAAGTTTGAAATTTGTTTGCAAGAAGCGAAATGAAAACATTGAAAATCCTTCAACGCGGCCATTGAAAACTGTTGCAAGGTCGGTTGGTGGACATGATTCTGTTTCTTTATTATACGTAAAAGAATGACACTTCCCAAAACGTCTGTGATGACATGCGATATTTCTACTTTATAGTTAAGTTCAACTTTTACATACTTAATTATGTTTGATTATGTTTATCGATAGCATTGGTGAATGTAAGTTACAATTGTAATCGACCGAAGAAGTATGCTGTAGAAGGAATTTCATTCAAACATGAAAACCGTTGGAAATGAATCGGTAGCACATACTTAGACCATTTCACGTCTTGGTCTTTATTTTTTTAGATATTGAACTTTATTTTCTGTTCATTCTGACGCTTCGAAATTTGTGAAATTAGCAGCCTAGCAGCGTAAAGAAACCTAAGAATACTGCAGACATGAAAACATTCGGACATGCATCAGTGACACTAATTGAGACCATTCCAAGCCTTTTTATTATATCCAGCCTGGCAGCCTATCATCATTTAGAAGATGAAGAATATAGCACATAGTGAAATGTTTGGAAATGTCTTACAATCAAAAGACTTTACAGGATTACAGACGATAAAATGTACTTTTAGGATTCTGATGTTTCAAAGTTTTATGCATCTGTTATGACGGGGTTTAAACTTTATCTGACGTAATGCCTTCGTTTTCGTCCATATCGAAATCATACTTTGATGGCCAAATGTCTTTTGAGCTCTCTGTGCACTTATTTGTTTTAACCAACATTAAAAATAAATTAGGGGTAAAGATCAGTAGAAAAAGAGATTGTTATGGATACTTATATATAAGTTTGTTAAATTAATATTTCTAAGTTCATCTTTATTAAAATACGGGAAGACACAGAAACTTTATTACACTTTATTATCACTTTTTTACAGAACATCAACATGTCACCTTAATATGAATATGTACCATATACATGTATATGGTAAATAGGGCATATACATGTATATGGTATATGGGGTATGATGGGGATTTGATATAGCACTGGACTGGTGCGATTTTTTCAGTCGTCAACAGCTTCACTTCCTTAATCATGAGAAATAGGAAATTATAGCGATATTATTGTATACAGGAAATTCAGTGACATTCGTTATTCCTTATTAACAAAGGGTGTCATCTCCAAGGATTTCTATCAAAGGCACCAATTCATATCCAGTAAACTCCCTCTTATGGGATCAACCATAACTTGCAAATTGGTGTGACGTTATCGTATACGCACTGTTAATTTAATATGATGTCACGGCGTTGGTCACGCTTACATATACAAAATGTACGTTCTACGAGTTAAGAAAATTAAGCATTCTTTAATATAGCGTACATCGAAACGTTCCTTTAAACATTTAATTTATTTTTCGCATATTTTAAAAGAAATATGCAAACAGATGTACCAACTATAATCATGCAGTTACGAGATAGATATTACCCCGAAGACCGTCTGTTTTCGGTAAAATTTAAATGGAAGAACTGAATATATGTACAAGTATTAACATTTCCAATAATGCTTGGAATCGCCGTTCAGGGTAAGCATATAGAAATGTTTTTCATTTCTTGCCTAATCCCCTTTTCATCCGCATTCAAACATAGTCTGAATGCAGTGAAAATTTATATTTGGTAATTTCACTGTGTTTATGAAATCATCAGTGTAAGACTTTTGTTATATATTGACTCCCCATTGGCACAGATATATCTATATTTAGCTCCATGCTATTGGTCAGCTAGCTGATAATCCCCGCCTAAATTTACCTGGCATCACCTCTCTGTAATATCATGAGTAAAAATATTAAGAAACCGAACAACTGCGTTGTTAAATCTCTCTACCCGTGCTGCCCAGTAACTATAATATAGCAGACAGTTTTGCATAACAACAATAATATCATCATCATCCTTCAAATATAATAATCTAAATCATCAACATAAATTTAGTCTTCGTCATTATAATTCAAATCTAATGTAAATAAGAAATGAATCATATGTGGTTTTTTCAGAGATTGGACAAATTACATATTTTTAAGGATGCCAACTATATCAAATAACAAAATTCACTATTCCTGAACTATGATCATTATAAAAAGGTAAAGAGGTAGAAAAAAGTCTGTCTCATCACCAGGAGAAAACTTTGCATCGTAAATTTCACCGTTAAAGCACCGCTCTACCCATCTTTTAAACAGATCATATCAGAAGACGCTCATTTGTAAACGACAGATTTCTCATGGTTAATAGACACTTAACAAGAAAAATATTTCATACATTCGTATTTAATATAAGTACGATTGCATGCTAACTTCTGTGAAGACTTTTATGCTTGCTGCTTGAAAGATGTAATGTAAAATGAACAAACATGTCATCAGATAATTTATATTTTAAGCATTTACATGGATGTAATAAATGTAAGAGATCTATTAACATTGCCTGCCTTCAGATGAGAAAAATTATGTCAAGGAAATCAAAATATAAAAATGATGCACGACCAATTTACAGCTCTAAAACATAAACACAAAATTGCACATCTTCCACTGAACAAAATATATTAAAATTGTGCACAGATTTGAGACATCATTATTTATTTACAAAAACATTATAATTTGTTATCAATTGATCCAATGAAACCCCGATGAGATACGGTTTGTAAATATTTCTAAAAAAGTATTTCCTATCCTATACCGCGCCCAGGTTAGATATATTTATAATTCCCGCACTACGTATTGGTGGTGCTTGGGATAATCAAGTGATAGTGTAACGACAGCCATCTTACGATACGAAAATCGGACAGTTTCTTCTGCCGAAAATATCATATACAACAAAAATATTACATACATTCGTATATAATATAGGTACGATTGCATACTAACTTCTGTGAAGACTCTCTATGCTTGCTGCATGAAAGGTGTTATGTGAAATGAAAAAATAACATGTCATCAGATATTTTATATCTTTAAACATTTTCATGGAATGTAATAAA